AGTGTTCCTCGCCGTGCCGTACCGCCGCCGCGTCGCCGCGCGCGAGCGCGTCCGCCCGCACCAGTACGCCCTGCTCGCAGCCGTGCACGGCCTCGCCCACCTCGCTGGCCATGCGCACCGCACGCGCGCCGAAGAGAGCCGCATGCGCGAGGCCGAGGTCCACGCGCTCGACGCCCTCAGGGAGACGTATGGATACGTCGATGATCGCGCACAAGCGGAGAGGACCGGCCGCCCGTACATGCCCGCGGCGTATCTCCCCCGACAAGCCAATAATTTAACGGAGGCGTGATGTGCGCTGCGTCTACAACCTGCTCTACAACCTGCTCTACGAAAAGGGGGCGGCACGCTGCGCCTCACTGCAGCAGGAAGCGGAGGTTGACCTGTTGCAAGTCGAAGCTGAGCTCGCCCTCGCCGAGCGAGACGGCGTTCGCGGTGTCGGTGGAGAAGCGCGCCTCGGGGAGGTTGAGTTTCCCCATGAGCTCGAGCGCGAGCCTCTTGTCGATGGGAATACGCTGCTTGAGCGTGAGGCCGTTGGGCGGCCGGTCGTGCGGCACGATCGGCCCGAACGGCTTGACGTTGACGGAGAAGAGCGTGCGCCGCGTCCGGATGTCGAACGCCGCACGCACGTCCAGCTTGGTTCGCGTGTCGATGTCGAACCGCTTCGTCAGAGATACTTGGTTGCCGAAAAACTCGAGCCGCCCGCCGAGAAACCGGTCGCGCCACGACCAACGGAAGGACACGTCCCGCGTGCGCGCGTCTAGGTCCGCCCCGAGCGTTAGCACCGTCAGGTTGAGCGGGTAGAAACACTTGCGCAGCTTTATCTTCACGTCCGGCTTGAGATGCCACACCACCTTCTGCGAGCGCGACAGCGCGCATAAACACGAGTGAGACCGCGTCGGTTAGTATGACGTGGGAACCGCACGGCAGGCTAGGGTGGGTGCGCACGTACTGGGAAGTGAGCAAAGTGAGGAAAGTGAGGCGGCGGGGCGTGGGAGCCGTCCGACGGGGTTAGTGGCGGGGTGCGGGGGGAGATGTTTGGGCGGCGGCTCGGGGCTTCGACTGGGGACAGATAAGATGAAGTCGAAGAGTCTATGTAGGAGGCGTCTGTAAAAGATGAAGCGGGCGAGGAAGTCTCCATGGCGGGATGTGTTTCGTGGCCGCGGGGCGCGGGTAGCACTTGCACAGGGTCTCGTCGGGTTGTTCCTGGCGATAGAGCGAGGCGCGCGCAACGAGCGGGGTGTGTGCACCGAACGAATGAGAGAATAACTAGGTGGCGGGTTGGATTCGTTCCGTCAAGGGTTCGAGCAGGGGTGCAGTTTGAATATGGCGACGCGACATTTTACAAAAATATCTGTACGCCTCCTCACGCACAGGGAAGCAGAAGCAGGGCAGGTCGGGCGGGGCGATTGCTATTTACACGTGCGGCGGGAAGCACGGGTCTATATACAGGCAGGGTGCGGGGTTGCGGCGCGGTCAGAAGCCGTTGGTCGCGGCGGTGGCGGGCGACAGCGCGACGGGGTCGGACTGCGGGGCGGTCTGCTGCGGCGGCTGGGCGTCGGCGTTCGGCGCGGCGGGCGGCTTGGGCGGCGCGGGGGGCTGCGCGATGGAGGTGTTCATGGCGTCGCTACGTGCGTGGGCGGGGGCGGGGATGGGTGCGGAAGAACGAGGGTGAGCGGGTGTAGACGGGCGGGTGTAGACGGGCGGGCGCAAGGCAGAGGTGAGAAGCGCAAAACGGGACGTGTGCGAAACGGAACGTACCGAAAGACGCGCATGGCTTGCAGCTTCCCGCGGGCGACGCTGTTCGCCTCCGCGCACGACTCGAGTATCTGGTAGGTGCAGAGCTCGGGGTTGCGGCCCTTGTCGATGGCGTGGATGACGTCGAGCGGGATGGAGGCGGAGACGGTGGGGAGGAGAGCGTGGATGCGCTGGAGGTCTGCGACGAAGTGGTTACTGCGCGGCGGGGGGGTGGGACGTGTGAGCGGGGGGGTGTGCGGTGGCGCGCGGGCGTGCGGTGGGGGCGGGCGGCAGCTTACGCGTTGGAGTAGATGAGGTCCTGCGACTCGTACGAGAAGTTGAGGACGTGGTCCGTGAAGGTGGCCAGCGTGTCGCACGCGTTCTCCAGCGCCTGCTCCATGCGCTCCAGCGGGTCTGGCTGCGGCGGCGGCGGCGCGGCGGCCCCTACGGTGGCCGCGGCCGACGGCGCGTCGACGTCGATGACGGGCGGCGCGGAGAGCGGCACGTGTTGGATCTCGGGGTCCATGACGGGAGTGGGGCGGCGGGGGCAGTGGGGCGGGCGTGGGTGCGGAGGGGGAGGGGGCTGACGGGGGAGAAGCATTGTTGAGCCGGATGGGTAGTGCCTGGAACGTGGCCACGTGTTCCAGGGGTCCACGCGTTACGCGTGGACAACTGTCGTACGAGGACACCTGGACACTTGTCGTACGTGGACACGCGGATTGGGAGAGACGGACGGAATCTATTAATAGCAGCGCGGGCGGGTGGGATCGATTAAACGCTTAAACCCCTCCACGGCTTTCCGCATCGGCTCGTCGCGCCCCTCCCTTCCACACCCGCCCGCCTTACCGCGCCGCACCGCACCGCACCGCACCGCACCGCACCATGTCCGTCCCGCCGACGCTGCACGACATCTCCATGGCCTTCCACGACACGCTCGCGCTCCCGCGCCCGCCGCGCCCCATCCCGCCGCTGCTGACCGCCCTGGTCCTGTCGCCGGACCTGCACGCCGCGCTGCCGGCGCTGACCACCCTCGCCCTGCGCGCGCCGCACCTCATCCCGCCGCTGGTCGTGTCGCTCCGCAAGCACCACCTGCCGCGCTTCGGCGCCCCGTCCGCGCACGCCCCGGCCCTGTTGCTCGCGCTCGTGCGCCACGTCCCGTACTTCTACCGCTACATCGCCTCGCCCGCGCTCGCGCGCTCGTACCGCCGCCTAGCGGGCTCCGCGCTGCCGCACGCCGCCCCGGCCGCGCGCATGCTGGCCA